CGGATCATACGTCTGCAGACGAGCTCTCACCAACTGGTGTGGGTAGGTTAACGTGCCTGCAAAAGTCTTTGAGAGTGAGGATGCCATGATGGTGTCAAAGTTTGTAAGTGTTTGGTCTTTCTTCGCCATCTGGCGCCATACTTTGAGCCTCTCATAAGCGACAAAATATAAAGCACCGTGGCTAACGCCGAACAGTGTCGGAGTGAGACCATGAAAGAAACCACGAATTCCTTCTGTCCTGTATATCGCTCGCAGTCCAAACATCATGCCTGGGTATGCACCAGTCTGCGCTGCCGAGGTAGAAAGCATCCGTGTCTTGACCACCCAGATGGGATTCGTGAGCATGGCAGAGAGAATCCCTGAGGCAGATGAGGCTGCCAGATAATCGACCGACGTAAGTTGCTTCCCGGGAGTGTAGCCACGTAGGTTGCGAATGACATCTTGTGCTTCTCGATACCACAAGAAATACAGAGCCCAGCCAGCGGAATTGCCCAAGAGATTCGGGGTCAAGCCACGGTACAGCGCTGCAAGCCGAGAAGGGCCTTCGTTACGGAGTATATCGCGGAGGACAGCTCGGGAGGAGTTGAGCAGGGGGTGAGAAGACGTGTCAACTATAGAGGAAGTGAGCAGGCGGGCTCGTCCCGATTCATACATTACACCTACCTTGCAACCTTGTCTTTATGATGTCCAGCGGATGAACGATGATGGTCGAGATCAACCCGGCTGATAAGCCAGCAATGGTCTCGATCGAGGCAGGCGAGAGGCCATTCTTGTGCGTGGATGTCATGAGCTAGAGATGAGTCGGCGCTCACTTCAGGTCACAGTCAAGGGACGGAGAAACGACTGTAAGTGGTTGCGCCGAGGTCAAAGATCATTTCGAGGCGCAGACGGGATTGGTGTGGGAAGACTGAGATTAGAGCGACATGGTGACACTTGCGCAATGGTGCTGTGAGCGTTTTGTACAGAAATCGCTGCTGGCAATGCGCTCACGAAGGTGCCACCAGATTGACGAAATCCAATGACGGCAACAACTGGTCCGAAGATTTGGAGAAAGTGAAGTTGGGAGATCAGTCACGTGGGTATTACGGATCAAATCTTATCTTATCTCCAATGGTTGACGCCTGCATCGGACTTAGGGCAATTGTGCGGGAGACCCCTGAAGCTCAACTCACCGCCAACGCAGGGCCAATTGCAAAGCTTGTTGGAGCCCATGCTCTCCACAGTCCACCAAACAATTTCATTGCCCGCTATCGGCTTCTCGGATCACCACGAACCAATTCACGCCACTTTCAATGCTCATTAACGGGGCTTTTCTTCCAGGCATCCCGTCCCTTCATTATTATTATCTTCACCAGCCATTGTCGGACCATCCATTCCACCGACCAGGTTTGAGCGAGGCTTCCAGAGCCCTTCACGACCTGCACGAACTTGCCCAACTGACTCAGCAAGCGCAAAGATACCCGACAGGGGCGACGCGGCGCCGGTTGACCGCGTATATTCACAATGGATATCATACTCGAAGTTGTCGATACATTATTCCTTGACCGTGTGTACGCCACGTTGTTTCCAGCCAATTCGTCACAGTATTCTCTCCAGAAACTCCACGATGTCGCGACCTCGACATTCTCAAGTATCCGAGAAGGGGCCACGCCAGCGCCGCAATACAAATACATCTACGAACCCGCTTCACGCCTGTTCAGCCTAGACCCGACCGAATGGGCCTACAAGAGCTCACTGTCTCGCGACAACATCTACAGACAAGGCGTCAGCTTGTTTGCCATAGTCTGGTGAGTTGCAGCTGTGTGCATCGGCAATGCCCAGTGGCTAACGTGTGGAAAGGTTCTTTGGGCTGGTCCTTTACTTCCTCTGCGCAACATTGTCCTATGTCTTCATTTTCGACAAGACAGCCTCGCAGCATCCGAAATACCTGAAAAATCAAGTCCGCATGGAGATCGCCCAAGCGAATCGGTCTATGCCGCTCATGTCTCTCTTGACTGCGCTGTGTATGCTTCTTGAAGTGCGCGGTTACTCGAAACTTTACGATCTCTCCTCCGAGGCCCCGTTCGCTTGGTACAACGTCCTTCAATTCCCCTTCTTCGTCCTCTTTACCGATCTCTGCATCTACTGGATCCATCGTGGTCTACACCACCCGTTGGTATACAAGACTCTTCACAAGCCACACCACAAATGGATTGTGCCGACACCATTCGCGTCGCATGCCTTCCATCCACTTGACGGCTTCGCACAGTCGACGCCATACCACATCTTCCCTTTTCTATTCCCGCTCCAGAAGTTTGCGTACATTGCACTGTTCGCCTTCATCAATGTCTGGACTATCTTCATCCACGATGGCGAGTACTATGCCAACAGTCCCATTATCAATGGCGCTGCGTGTCATACAATGCACCATTTGTACTTGTAAGTTTTCCCGGTCACCAATGCGACAAAGCACCTGCTAACTCCGGTTTAGTAATTATAACTACGGCCAGTTCACGACTTTGTGGGATCGTCTCGGAGGCAGCTATCGCAAGCCGAACGATGAACTGTTCAGGAGAGAGACGAAAATGGGCAAGGCGGAGTTCGACAGACAAGCTAAGGAGATGGAGGAAATCGTCAAGGAAGTGGAAGGTGACGATGATAGGGGATACTTGAAGAAAGACCAATAAATGGGTTTTGCGACCAGGACAGAAATTATCGGATCGGATTATCCCAATCGTCGTTAGCCGCCGTCTTCTCTCTTCAAGCTGGACAAATGCTTTCAATACCCTATCAGCGCACGAGACGGCGCAATCGAGCAAGTCGGTTGTTCCAGCGTCGCACTTTCGAGCACCAAAAGTCGATCTTGTTTGAATGCAGGTGATCAGCAGAGTGAACCAAGTTGTTCCTAGGAAGCAGTTTACATAGACAGACTTAATCATAGATGAAGAATGCTCCCGCGAGCCTCGAACTAACCTGCCAGCAATATCTCTGCCCACAATAAGTGGACATTTATCAAGCACCACTTATTGGAATTCTGCCGCTGCTGTCAGGGCGTTCTAACTCAATAACTGGTGGCGAATTGTCTTCTTTGAACAGACCCAATTCGCACAGTCGTGTCTGCTTGCTCTCTGGTGTATGAACAGAAGAAATTTCAGTTCGAGACTCTGCAGCAGATATAGAGAGTTGGAATGCGGATTCTGTGTAGCCACTCCCGGCGGCAATACATCCATCGTTTGAATATTCCTCCTTGGTATCCTCGTCTTGTGAACAATGGAGCCGTGACCAGCCCGGCGAGGATGTGATAAGTAACACCTGGATCTGTCTTGGAAGACATGTCTTCTGGATGCAGTCGTATTCCACAATAACACCTAGCGATCCCTGGCTCGGACTAACCGTCGTTCATCACATCAGCCCTCACTCCTCCATTGGACAAGCGGATGCCGCCCAGCAAGTCTCACCTCTCTTCTATAAGTCACCGCGTATAGACCAACACCGACGGGAAGCTCCCTCAAAATCGAGCAGCCTCACTTCCAATGAGAGCAGGCTTGGTAACGGTCCCTCCGAAAACACAACGGCTGCTCGAACCGCCTGATATTATGCTGCAAGTTAGCAGAGAGGCACTGCATTTAGCATATCGACCAATGCCAGATTGAGTGCCATTAAAGGAAATCTTCCCAGGGGACGCCTTGGGATCGAATGCTGTAATGGCTCAGGAGAACGGGCATGGTGGCAAGCACCAAAGGCAGTCCAATCAAGGGTGAGAGGTTCATTTCGGAGAGAAGTGGGTAGGGATTGTTTGTTGTTGCACGAGTGGCTTGTAGGTATCTAGGAAATTGAGTGAATAAATGTGAAGATCGTTCGCAAAGACTTGTCGGTCTTCGAATGAAAGGGTTAGTCCTGATATGAAGCCCGCATTCTACGCCCATACTTATTGCATAGGCGAGCGGTGCGCAAACCAAGCCGGAAAGGAGCCACGTCTGCCAACGTCGCAGAAAAAGTCCGCATTCAAAATAAACCGTTCCAGCAGATTGCTTCCACATAGCACTCGAGCATAAGCAGCGCTCATTCCCAAAATCCAAAAAGCGGCTCCGTACTCGCACTCAAGAGAACGACACAAACTTAGGGTCTCTGGGTATTCCGTCGGCCCCGATTCCATTCTTCTTGAAGCGCTGCTCCATGTACACGCGACGCGCCTCGTCGAAGTTGATGCCTCGGATCTTCATCAGTCGCTGGATCTCTCGCTTGGCTGTCTGGTCCAGACCCCCTCTAGAATCTCCTTCCACGATGTTCGAGGAGAGGTCGAAGTCTGCAGACGTGAAGCCGCCTTCGACATCGCCCATGAACGAGGACGGTAGCTGGCTGTACGTGAAATTACTCGGATGCAGGCGGTACAGAGCATCCTGTACGCGCTCGGGGAGGTAGGGTGTCCATCGAGAACGGGTGAGGTAAAGGACTAAGTGCCGAGATCAGTTGTGTTACCCGGCGATGGGCGTCAGTCAGTCGACTCACCTGTTGCAGACACAAGAGAGAACAGAAGGACAGTGTAGAGTATGTATGCCATGACTGCAGCCTGCGTTCGCTCAGTGTCGGATTCGGTACGGTATAGTCGGCTATTGCATGCAGGTAGATGGCGATTCTTTGTTGTACAGCCTATTCGAGATGATCATAGATGCGAGCACATAATGCGCTTCGCGCGATGTCAAAAGTGACATGCAGTCAGGCGGCACCTCTGAAGGCTGTTGAGTAGAGATGCTCAGTCGTGATCCGAGGGCTTTGCTTGGGCTCGCTTGGGGCTTGGAGTTGTCGTCAGCCTGCCCGCGGAACACGGCGGCGATGACGGATGGCATCTCCACGTTTAATACCGTACCGTAGCAGACTGCCAAGCCGCGTGGACCTTGGACCAATCATCTGCAGGCGCACAGAGTGCAGCGAGCGGCAAGAGACGAAAATCGCCCAAAGTTCGAGAGTTTGAAGAACATTGTGACCTCTGACAACTCCAGACCAGTTCGACCGCCGCCACCATGTCTGAACGTCCAAATATCTCCGCCGACCTCATTTGGGAAGTCGTCCGTACGTTACACATCTCGAAGGGCGATCTCGAGCGACGCTGATCCGCTGCAGGAAATAACAATGCGTACCTCGTCAAGAGCAAGCAACATGGCGGCTTCCAATTCTCCCGAGATCCCTTCAACCTGACCAACAAGCACTCGAGAAAACATGCCGGCTTCGTCAACGACAAAGCAGTCTCAATCCAGCCCGGCGAGAACGGAGGAGTCACGTTGAAAACGAAGAAGCCGGGCAAGACCCACCAGCCTGCTTCGCACCACAACACTCATACCTATAGCAAGGCCACGTCGAACCGGAAGTGAGTGCATTAATGACAGACACGGGAGGTAGGAGTAAAGCGCTGATTGGCAATTACAGGGTCTACAAGAACGTGGCGGATGCGGTTGGCAAGAACTCATATCGTGGTGACTTGAACAGTTACGCCGTGGCCCGAGCCAGTGCCATCAGGGACTCTCAACGCGTGAAGAAGGACACTCCAGAGAAGAAGCCTCGCGGACTGAAGGGCAGGAAGGCGGCTGCATAGAGTAACAGGGGCGAATGGTGATACGCGTGCAGGAAGCCTCGAATCAAAGATCTATGCTTGAGGAGGCACTCATCCGATGAGCGACAGAAGCAAGCGACCATGACATTGGGTCGGTATCCCGGCAATGAGCCTAGGAGAAGGCTGACGCATATGGTTGTGAAATCGGCACTCTCGCACGGATATGAGCTGGACTTGCTGGCATCCGATGGGGATTAGGTCAAGATGGGCAGAACATTTACGAGGTACACACTGGTGTAGTCAATAATGCCCGCAACCAAAACGAGCTTCAGCCTGATCCGAGCAATTTTCGTTCGTATGAAAGCAGCGTCATCGTGCTGCTTCATTGGTCCTCGGGCCTAGACAAGAGCAAATGGCAACTTGCGCCAGTACTGCCTGATCAACGGAGCAGCGGACTCGATTGCGGGAGAAACAGCAGGTCCTGCCGCTCTTGCAAAACGCGATTGGACAGAGCCTTGGCGGGCAAGAATGGCTTCCCCTCGTTTTCCGTGTCCCGCGCTCCGTCACTCAGAAGAAAGTCAGACCGCTCTCACCTTTTGTTGAACTCTCTCTTCATAAACATTTGGCGCGACAATACCTCTCTCGTCTTTTCACGCTTCGTAACTTCTCCCATACCCTCTTCTTGACTCTTTCTCAAGCTTTGCGACAGGTGACTAGCGAGTTTGTCCCATCCAAAGCGAGCACCCTAACAACTGCGACAGTTCAATTACCCCTCACTAAACTATCAACATGGTCAAAGCTGTTGTTCTCGGTGCTTCAGGTGGCATCGGCCAGGTATGGATTCTTGTCTTCGTCGGGACACAGTGAGCATGAACTGACTGATCGACAAGCCGTTGTCTCTTCTCTGCAAGATATCACCTCTCGTCGATGACCTCGCACTCTTCGATGTGGTCAACACTCCTGGTGTTGCTGCCGATCTGTCACACATCTCCTCAGTCGCTGTACGTCCTCCCTCTCGACCGATTCTGGGCATGACATAATTCTAACTGCTGCAGACCATTGGTGGCTATGTCGCCGCACCAGGTGACTTCAAGGGCGAGAAGCCAGAGACAGAAGAAGCAAAGAAAAAAGCTTTGACGGGTGCAGACATTGTCATCATTCCTGCTGGTGTTCCCCGTATGTCTACAAGTCCACATTGATACTCCCTGAGACTGATGCTTGCCTCCAGGGAAACCCGGTATGACCCGCGATGACCTATTCAAGATCAATGCCGGTATTGTCAAGGGTCTCGTGGAGGCGGCTGCCAAATACTGCCCTGACGCATACATCTGTGTCATCTCGAACCCAGTCAACTCCACTGTGCCCATCGCTGCTGAAGTCCTCAAGGCCGCCGGCGTATTTAACCCAAAAAAGCTGTTCGGTGTCACCACCCTTGATGTCGTCCGAGCCCAGACCTTCGTGGGAGACATCATCGGCGAAAAAGACCCTCGCAAACTAGCCATCCCTGTCGTCGGTGGCCACTCTGGCAATACCATTGTCCCACTTTTCAGCCAATCCAAACCGCCCGTGAACATTCCGTCAGACAAGTTGGATGCTCTGGTAAATCGTGTCCAATTCGGTGGTGACGAGGTGGTGAAGGCCAAGGATGGTGCCGGCTCGGCTACTCTGTCCATGGCCTACGCTGGTTTCCGGTTTGCTGAGTCCCTCATCAAGGCAGCCAAGGGTGAGAAGGGCATTGTCGAGCCGACTTTCGTGTATCTGCCCGGTGTTGAGGGAGGTGCTGCTATCGCTGAGGCAACCGGTTGCGACTTCTTCTCTGTCCCTGTGGAACTTGGAGTAGGTCATTTTTGTTCCGTCAGGTCGAGTCTTCCCGCTAACCCTTGTCCAGCCCGCCGGTGCCGAAAAGGCCATCAATATCCTGGAGAGTGCCAATGACTATGAGAAGAAGCTCCTGGACGAGGCCATCAAGGGCCTCAAGACGAACATTGAAACCGGCATCAGCTTCGTCAAGAACCCACCGAAGTAAGCCTGATCTTCTTTTTCTCTTTCCGGGCCTTTTCTGACCTGTGCTCCTGCAGGTAGGACGTGAGCAACTTCTAAACCCAAAAGAACGTCCCTGCCTGCCAAAGTGCGGTTGTATCCGTTGTTGGAACAATATTGGTGCATTGACGCGAAACATAAGATGCAGCCATGGAAACTGACAGGGGGTCATTGACGCAGGTTATGAGCACCACATCGTGGCGAAAAGCACAGGACTCCCTCCACCTTCTCACGTCAATATGATCCATCATGACGCCCATGGCACGTAGAACCTTGCGTTCCTTCTGTTTTGCAGGACGTGAAATCAAATATTGAGTGACACTCTAGACTCTGCTGCTTTTTCTTCCGGTCCCCGACATTTCGAGTCTTGCCCTGTCGCCTTTTTTGACTGCCCGCTAGACTGAGTGGAAGGACGTCAGTGGGTGCCTTTGACGAGAATCGACTGACATTGAACCCCAGCAGTCGTCCACTTGCTCCTGTACCCTTTTCGTCCCTCATTAGCTTCCGTTGGCCATTTTCCTTCACAGTCCCTATGACCCTCGCGGCGTGGGAGCCGGGTCGTCTTGCCGCTGCCACTATTGATCTCCTTTCCTGGTCTTCTCGCTTGCGCTGTGCGCGCAGAACGCCGACCTTGACAGCCCATCAAAACGGAGCCCGCCCGCCTCGAATATCCGCTGTAGTTAATCCAAGTATTCATCCTTTTTGCCTTTTGGTTTTTTTCTTGTTTCATACGCCCACCTTCTTAGTCGGCTCTTGAATCGTCTTGATCTGGAACACGGCGCCGGGTAAGTCGGTCGTCTCAGCCTGCACGGTCGCCTTGATGCCCAGACTCGACAAGACTCCCCTGATGATGCCGCACGGGAAGAACAAATGCGGCTGGGCGCGTTGAACGGCTTCTGCACTGGTGGTCATGGCCATGCGCATCAGAGGCCGGAATTTGGCGTCCGTGAGGACGAAAACGCCCTACATCACGACATGAGATTAGCACGGACACGGACACGCACACGCACACAGACACAGACGACTTTGACGTTGGCGTGGCTCGAGTCCGCTCTTCTTGGATATGAGAATGTCCTGATCCTGGGGATGACGCGGGGTCCTGGGTCTTGGGATCTGCGTGGAATGGGGGGGGTACTTGGGCACGATATTTAACGCACCCGGTGATTCGTCTTCAAGTTGTCGACCTGCTTCTTCCACACCACGGTCCAAATGTCCTTGCACAAGAACTTGATGACGTCCAGGTGATGGTCGTTGATGCTGCCTATCCCAGCCGTCCCTGCGCTGCCTGTGCTGCCGGTGCCCAACCCACCGGACCCGGCCATGCCGGGCCCGCTGCCCGCGTAATTCTGGAAGCGCGCCCTGTCGCGCGAGAACCGCTCCGAGAGGCCCTCCCCAACACGGAACCCCAGCCGCTCCAGTCGCACGTACACACTGTCCGCGAAGAGGGGCGTGGAAGGCATGCCGTCCGACGCGAGGAGCGTGGGCGCTGCCGCTGTGGTGGTGGTGGTGGACGGTGGGGCTGACAGGGACGTCGACGTGGCGTTGGGGTTCGTGACTGTGATGGCTGGGTTACCTGTGCCTGTGCCTGTGCCTGATCCAGATCCTGCTCCGGAAGTTGTCACCGTCGTGTTCGTGTTCACCATCGTGGAACCCGTTGCGGGGGTCCCTCCTCCTCGCGACGCACGCTTCGACGCCCTCCCCGACGAAACGGGCGGGACGGGCCTGTCGAGCGAGGCCTCGTACGCGCGAGCCATGCGTTCCGCGAGAGGGACGAGCTCGATGAGCAGGAGATCAAAGCACGAGACGTTGGCGAGGCGGGCGTCCGGGTCGAAGACCAAGTCGGGCGGAGAAGGGGCGGCCATCGTGGAGTTGGGTGAGAGGTGTGCGGCCTGACGGTATATATGCGGGCGGGGCGCGGGCTAATGCTTGCCTTTTGCTCTGCTTTCTTGCTTCCTTCTCAAAGCTTCGGGTGGGCGGGCGTGCGTGCGTGCGTGCGATGAGTGCGTGTATGTGTCACCGCTGCGGCTGCGAAGGTCTAGGAGTCGTGCTTGCTGACAGTGCCCCAAGCCTCGGGCGCGGCGGCGGGACGAGGAGATTGATCGGTTTCGTGCTGCGGCGATGCCTCATGGCTCGTTCTTAGGGGGGCGTCAAACACATCAAGACGAGATATCTGTCGTGAAAATCCGAGCAGCAGTTCTATGATCTATTCGCATCCACGCCGCTGGCTGTGTCGAGTTGCAATCGCTCGCTAGCGAGCGACGTCGACGGTCTCGGGAATAACTGAACGGTGAAAAGGTGCGCATCTCCATGTGGTCACGTGTCAGGCTTCCGACCTGCAAGGCTGCGGGTCGCGGAGCTCGTCTCCTCGAGAACATCCCTTCCCCCTTTTTTCCACAGCACGGACTTACGCAAGGTAGAAGAAAGCATGTTGAAGCAAGCTGAGAAACCCAAGATCGAGCTTCTGGCGATGGTGATATTAGTTTTATTGAAGTACCCCTTATTCCCCATAACTGAATCTTTGTCACATGTCGCCAGCGATGCAGTGCAGTCAACAGGAACTGCATTTTGGTGGCCATTTTCAGATGCCACATGTACACGGTCAACCAACCCAAATATTATTTGTACACGATGCTGACCAGTTCGACTCTATCGACTGATCGTCAATTCCCGCCTAGATTCCCGTCATGAGGCTTTCATTTGGCCATGACATCCACATACCGCCCTTTACCTCCCTTCTTAGCTCCTTTAGCACTTTTACGGCCTGTCGATGGTCCGATTAAATCGTCGATGCTACTAGCATTGCTCATGGCAGTACCCGGGCGCGGCGGAGGAGCGAGATTTGGAGTCAAAGGTCCTCCAATCGGCGGAGTGCTGGCAGCGCTGGGTGGACCAGTTGCTCCTATCTGTGGCGACTGGCCATTGGGCATTGAAGGCCCAGGCCCGTCAGCTGGGGTGCCGACTCTGCTGGGTGGTCCAGAGGACAGGCCCATTCCCAGACCTGTTGTGTTGGGATGTGATGTCGGAGGAGTAGAGCCCATGGGCGGTCTTGGAGGACCACCAGCACCCATCGGTGGCGCTGGCGTACCACCCATTCTTGGCGGAGGAGGAGTTCCCGTCTTCTTTGCAGCATCTGGATTGTCAGGGTTCACCCACTTGCCAAGCTCCTTATCATAGTACAACTTCATCTTCGATTCGCCGAGTTTGGCTCTGAATACCTTTTGGTCACTGCCTTTGCTTGAACCTGAATCCAGGCTATCGTCTTTCTTGCCTCCGAACCAGCCCCCCAGCCAGGACGAGGATCTCTTGGACTGTTTCTGTTCCTTCTCTCGCGCAGCATCTGCTTCCGCCGCCGCACGGAAGGCAGCGTCCGCGGTGGCATCGTTTGCTTTCTTGCGGGACGTCTCGTCTCCATCGACTGAAGACTGAGGTTGGAATGACGGTGCCTGGTTGGATACCCGGGGGAAGTCGTCCTCGTCCTCGTCCATGAACGACTTCTTCTTGGATTTCACGTCTTTGCTCGGCGCTTCCGGTGATTCTGGCTCAGGCTCATATGGGACATAGCCGCCGCTAGGTGGTTCGAATCCATAAGACTCAGTTGGAGGGTCATAGCCTGCGCTGGCAATGCCGTTATGCTGAGGGGATGTTTGAGCCTGATCAGGTTGCGACGGCTGGTAACCGCCGTAGGAATGTTCGGGTTGCAAAGGCTGGTAGCCACCAAATGATATGGGCTGCTCTTCTGGTATCTGTGCGATGGGCTCCGGTGTGTGGCCGTACGTTTGTTGGATAACATCTTCAGATGGCGGCGTTGGTGCATATCCTGGACGGATGGGAGACATATTTGAGGCCACCGTCGTCGGAGCTGCGTTGTTCGGCACGTATGACGACCTTGGCGGACTTTGAGGGTAGGAAGGAGGGGGAGGCGAGGTAGCAAATGCTTGATATGGGTTCGGGGGTGGAGCGGCTTGCCCTTGCTGGAACATGTTCATTGGCTCAACCTGGCGATTATGTTGCGAGTATGAACTGGTTGGTGGTGATCTTTGCGAGTCTAAAGATGGTCGCCCACGAGTGAGCTCTGCCGAGGATCGTGCCGACTGTATACCGTTGGGAGCGTATTTGTTCCCAGCTATTGTTGCAGGGACAGCTTGGGGGTAGGACCCGTACAGATCGGACTGAGAGCCAGTCCTGCTGACCGACGGCGTTCCAGCAACGCGGGCAAAGGGGCCACTCTCGCCTGCGTCTTTCCCCGAGCCTTTTGATTCTGCGTCGCTGTCATCGCCTGCGACGAAGCTGCTGAACTTGGTCCACATAGACCCGCCGACCTTCTCCAGGCTCGGCTTTCCAATCCACGATGACGAGCCTTGAATGGGCGTTTGTTTAAGTTTGTTCGATAGGTCGTCAAGCTCGGACAGGAACAATGGGTGGTAATAAGGCGACATCTTGCTGCTCTTACCGAAGGTGGCTGCGATGGCATCACAATATGATTGCGCCTCCGCCTTCAATCCAGCCTCTGACATGAGAATCGCGCGTTGCAACTTGAACACAGAAAGATGGGGCATGAATGGTAATTGCGCCCCCGTCGCAAGAACGCTTGTCGCAAATTCATATATTTCGGTGAGCATGACAGCATCTTGGTCTCGGGCGAAGTCAGATGGCTGGGCTTTGTGGTTGGCACCCAGCAATATAATGGAGGCGTGCTCTTCATCGGGGCCGCCAAACAGTAGTTGCCTTTGTGGGTTCCTTGAGAACAGGTAGCAGATATGTGCCGCCTCGATGCGATTGTAGTCCTGAAGGAGCTTTCCAAGGACTGCCAGAGCCTGATGGTCGCCCTGACACCGGTTGTTTAGCACGAGACTAAGCGTCTCTTTCCAGCGATTCAAGCCGTCGAGAGAATTCCTAGTAACGCCTCCGGTATTGACTCTGCTTATCATCTGGAGACCAGCTCGAGCGGATGGCGGGACAAGCTCATCAATGCTTTCATCGAGGTTGCCTCCAAAGATCTCGTACAGCGCAGACAGTGATTCGGTATTTTCTCCGGCCGTTTTCACCTCTTGACGCACGAATTCTCTCACAACTTGACCCCACATCGAGCGCTCCATGGTTGAGGCGATGATGAGAGCGTGCGACCACAAACGATTATCCATCGCATGGAATACCGCACCCTGCCGGTCGCCACTCAGTAGTCGTTTCCGTAGAGCCTCAACCGCCATCGGGTCGGCAGAATCGGGCCGCACATTGGCACCGGAAGGTCTGTAAATTCCCGACGACTGTTCGCCAGCGCGGTATTGAATCGGACTTGACTCATCGACGTTGTGGACCTCAGGCGAGAGAATGAGGTTGATTGCCTTCAGAGCCGGACCCTCGAGTGAACCATCGTGTTCCACCATGACACGTACGATCTTCCAAAGCAGTACCTTCTCATGAAGGCGTCTTGCTGGATCGTCATGAGACTGAGCAGCGAAAATGTTGGGCATGCCGGCCTCCATCCCGGTAATGTAGTTGGTCATCCACGACAAGACGTCCTTCTTCTTTGACTTGGATCGAAGTGGGCCAGGAAAATTGTTGACCAGCTCAACCTGGGGGAGAATATCTTTGCCATCCCGAATAGAGATCTCGCCTGGAGACGGCTTGATCTGCGGTCGTACGGCTCCCGTAGCATACCTGGGCACGTGTCTCGGGAAAGAGCTGGTAGTTGTGCCACCAAAGCCGAAAGTGAACACTGGAGCACCTTTCCACCGCTCTAGCGGGTCAAATTGAGTGTCATCTTGAGGCCGTACGAAAACCAGTTCTGGTGCTAGACTCCTGCCTTGAACATTAGGGCGGGTGAGGTCCGCAGAAGCCAGCTGAGCAGAAGTTATACTGGGTGACGATTGACCATAGGCTGTGGCTGGACGGTTGATGAAGTCGGCGTTGTGCGAAGGGTGTGCCGCTTGAGGGCGCTGTTTCGACGGAGATTGAGTCTGGGACCGGCGTGGCGGTGGTAAATGGCCGGCATCGGGACGCTTCGGAGGCGACAGCTGATTTTTCAAATCCCCATAGTTACCACTTTCTGGAGAAGTGGCGGAGTAATGCGCGGAAGCCGCAGAAGGAATATACTGATTCGTAGGCACTGGTGGCCCTGACGGCTGTGCTGTTGCAGCGGGCATGCCATTGGCATTTTCATCGACAGAGCCCTTGTGATACGCTAACGGACTCGACGTACGTGGTTGGAAGGGCAAGATGGCGGCTGCGGTGGGAGGAGGTAGAGACGGTGGTCTAGTTGGCAATGCTGGATTAGCTTGAAGAGGAACTTGATTGGGGCCAGGAGATGGTGTCGGTTGCGCCGCGTATCTAGCAGCACTGGCAGAGGTTGTCTGGGGTGGAGGCGCGGGAGAGTATCGAGGCGAAGGTCCAGGGCGAGCGCCTAGTGTCGAAGCCCCAGGCGCAGATGGTGCAGGTGAGTATCTTGTTGTTGGTGGCGCTGCCAAGGGAGCAGGCGGCTGCAGAGGTACGTTCGCATAAGGATCTAGGCGTTCTGGCGCCTGCAGCTGGTATTGAGCATTTGGATCAGAGGGTTGGGCGGGTAGAGGGTGCTGTCCGGGATGCTGATTGAGAGATCCCTGAGGAAGTGGTGCAGGAGGCGGCAGGGGACCAGTAGGAGGACTCTGAGGTAGAAAGGCAGGAGGAGCGGCTGAAAATGACTGCTGTGGAGTGTAACGTCCAGCAGGCCGTGGTTTTGATGTGATAGGCAACTCCTCGAAGAAGCCTGATGACGACCCTGACTTGGACGTTCGAGTCTTATTTGACCCTAAAGCGGAAACGCTTCGTTGAGGCATAGCAGGCGACGGTGCCGGAGGTTGCATACCCACAGACGAAGAGGTCGGTGGTCCAGCTGGCGCGAACGGTGATTGCAAGGGGTGTTCCGAAAGGCTGCTGCTTCTCGGCGGAGGAGCGACAGAGTTTGCCGTCTGGACCGGCTGTGGGACATGAGATCTCCTCTTAGGCATTAGATCCAGAGGCAGGTCGTAAGGAGATTTATAACCATCCTTGGCTTGATCCACAAAGCTTTTGACACTCGGTGCAGCTGACCTCTGAGGTAATTGAGCTTGGAACGAGCCCGCAGGTGGTAGCTCTGGTCGCGACAGACCGACATTGTTATGCGTGGCGCGTGCCATAGGAGGCAATTGGAACATATCGGAGGTGGTAGGCTGGTGAGGCGTGTAAGGGTTCACGGAGCTCTGTCTTTGAGGCTGTTGCTGTGGCGCGGTTTTGGATACTGGCTGAGTGGGTGGTACGGAAGATGATTCGTCATCGGAGTCGGGGAGAAGGTCATCAGCATCCTCGACGAGGAACTCGTCGTCCCCAAGTGCAGCTGCCCACATCGCCTCTGGATCCTGGTTTTCCACGCCAGCGGAGGCGTTTTTGTCCGCACCAGGGGCAGCATCAGCAGCCAGTTCATCGAAAAAGGACGCTTCGACCGGCGTATCCGCCGCGGGGGAATCTGGAAGGTCCCTGTTCGATATGTTCAAGGAATCCAGAACCTGTGTGGTGGATTTTCTGTCAAGAGAGGGTTGTTGGGGAGCCTCAGGTCCAGAGCCGGGCACATTTGAGAAGAAGCTGGTATCGTCATCATCTTGCACGGTCTCGAAAGGATTTTGTGCAGTTTGCTTGTCATGGCTTTGGGCGTGTGCCGGAGCCTCCTTTTCTGTGTGTATGAGAGGCAGGCCCTCTTCATATCGTTGGTCCGCCTCGTCCATAGGCTCCTCTTGTGCCGGAATTGTCCATGACTGGGGTTCTCGAGCGCTATCATCGGCACCATGAATCCCGTCCAGATTTCGCGGCTCAGTGGCATCCCCTTTCTGTTCTACAACTCTTTCCTCTTCCGCAGTTCCATTGACCATCCCAACATCCAGCTTGTCCGCTGGCACGCCAGTCTCGACCTCATGGTTTGCTGCGTGAGGCCAAGCTGCGTGAGGCGAGTCGAAGTCAGGAAACGTCGAGGAACGGTGGACATTAGCAAGGATATTCGTGCTGTCATAACGCTTGATACCCCAGGCAGGATCCAGTCTCTCATCATCATCGTCAGAAGGCAACTCATCGCCACCATAGTTCGTAGTAGAAGACCGCGAAGTGGCAGTTGTCGCTGTTGTACGCTCGGGCTTGGGCTCGGGCTCGCCAGGCTCCTCCGGCACGACTGGTATTCTTTGGCTTGGGAATTCGACCTTTTCACCTTGTCGCGAAACTGGTGTCGGAGGTATTATATCTATTCGTGCATGGGGGGGAGAACTCGATTCGACCTCGGCGATAGGCGCATCGTGTGTAATCTCTTCAATCGTTTCGGGGCGCAGGGCTGGGAACCAGTGGCCTGTTAGTGTGTCGTCGCCTGCGCCAGAAGAGACATGTTCAACATGATCCGGTGTCTCCATCGCGACCGGCACGGATTAGATTAGGCGTTACTTGTCGAAGTCAGCATAAGGGTAGGGGGCTTCTAAGGACTTCTTCCAGTCATACATGTACAAGCGGGATCAGCAAATTCTGTAATACATGTCCACGGGAGACAGGTCAGTCGCGGCCGGGGGAGAAATCGGGACGCCGTGAGAGATGCTGCTCGAGGTCGACAGTTGATGGGATGAGGACGTGAAGTGAAGGCCAGATCGTCTCCAGACGAGACACGGATGAGGGCGCAGGCTACGGGAGCGGACGAGCACCCGCAACTTTCCACTCGCCAACAGGAGCCATCAGGAGCCAACAGGAGCCAACGGCCAGCTGCGTTTTCTGCTCTCTTGCTCCGACGGCGTTAGCGTAGAGCTGAAATAGTCCACCGTAACCCGAGCCGAATGCGTCGCGCCAGAATGTCATGTCTCGTATTTCTGCCCCAGGCTTGTCAGGAAGGCTGCCAAATTACTCCGGACTCTGCTCACCAGGACCTCTACTCCTATGAACTTTGGTATAAATACCGACCTGCACTTCACAGGTCGACGACAACCCTCGACTTTGTCCGCACAAAAGAACGCGCAACGCCTGTACGACATCAACCCCGTCGCTGAACGGAACCTGAGGATGCCCAGCGAAGGGAATGCCTCCCCCGAGAGACGCAGATTCTGGCTCCGAAGATGACCTTGACCTTGACGAACTCGACCCCATCGTCCAGTCGCCTAATGATCCCAGGATAAACTCATCCTTCGACTCCGCAAACCGCCGTACCGCGAATAGCTCCACCAACATCCCCCTGCAAAGATTACAGAAATATGGGAGCAGTCGCTTATGGCGCTCGAGAGGGAGACCGGGCAGGGCGGGCAATGCCGACGAAGACACTGAAGGACTGTTAGGCAGCTGGCCGGGCCAGGCTCGCGGCAACAGCCAACTGCCACAATGGTCAGAGTCTGAGGATCAACCGGGATGGAATGTCAGTCGGAGGAAACACCAGAATCTCAATCGACAGAACAGTATATCTCAGGGGCGCGATGCCCATTCACGCCGCCTCAGTCTCCGCCAGAGCATGCAAATCTCCGACTTTGTCAGGCAAGAGTTGGCAGATATGCGTGAGCATAACCAGGAGTTGAACGGCAACGAATCGCGCGAGGTCGAGGTTGGTCAGTCACAGAAGAAACGATTTCCCACGAATGTCGTCTCCAACGCAAAATACACCCCCTGGTCCTTCCTGCCGCGGACCCTGTATAACGAATTCTCCTTCTTTCTCAATGTCTACTTTCTGCTTGTTGCCTTGTCCCAGATATTACCCTTTCTACGAATCGGCTACATGTCGACATATATTGTCCCTCTGGCCGTGGTTCTCACGATTTCAATCGGCAAAGAAGCTGTGGACGATATTGTCCGGCGACGACGGGATGCAGAAGCCAATTCCGAATTGTTTACTGTCCTGTCCTTCTCGGACACGGCCCGAGATGGAGCGGTCGAAGTCCAGAAAAAGTCGCGCGATATCAAAGTTGGGCATGTATTGAAACTCGAGAAAAACCAGAGAGTTCCGGCGGATGTTGTCATTCTGCAAAGTCGCTTGACCGAGCTCACGGTCGATGCCAGAGGCGACGGGACGGGCACCCCTTCATCCCAGGCTAGCGGCGAGACATTTATTCGGACAGATCAACTCGACGGAGAAACCGACTGGAAGCTCCGACTTCCGAGTCCACTGAGCCAGAGTCTGACCCTCAAAGACCTTCAGCGATTGAAGATAACGGCGGGTGCGCCCGACAAGAAAGTCAATGAATTCGTCGGGACTTTAGAGCTCCAGCCCAGGCAAGCCCCCGCCTACGACCCGCATGTTCTGAAAGAAAACCTCGCTGACGACAATGGCGGATCAAGTGATCTTGACCGGTCTGCAGCGGATAGAGTGACATCGGCTCCGCTGACTATCGATAATACAGCTTGGGCGAACACCGTCTTGGCTTCCAGTACTACAACTTATGGCGCAGTCATCTATACCGGCCGTCAAACACGATCCGCCTTGTCGACCTCACCGTCAAGGTCCAAGACCGGTCTCCTAGAATATGAGATCAACAACTTAACCAAGATTCTCTGCATCATGACCTTGAGTCTTTCCATCATCCTTGTCGCACTCGAAGGGTTTGAGCCGTCTAACAAGAAGCCCTGGTATGTGGCCATCACGATCTATCTCATCCTCTTTTCAACCATCATCCCGATCAGTCTCCGTGTCAATCTCGACATGGGAAAGACCGTCTACGCGTATTTCATCCATCAAGACAAAGGCATTCCAGGCACCGTTGTCCGTACCAGCACCATTCCCGAAGATCTCGGCCGGATCGAGTACTTGCTATCCGACAAGACGGGAACGCTTACGCAGAACGAAATGCAACTTCGGAAGATCCACGTTGGCACGGTTGCGTATGCGGGCGAGGCAATGGATGAAGTTGCAGCCTACGTCGAGCAAGCCTTTGCCACGGGTGCTGGTCACGAGTCGAAGGCCTCTGAGCTTGGCTCGAATACCAAGACCCGTCGCGAAATCGGCGTTCGAGTACGAGATCTTGTACTAGCACTGGCCCTTTGCCACAATGTCACACCCACCACTGACGAGATCGGTGGAGAAAAGGTGGTCTCCTACCAGGCCTCCTCCCCAGATGAAATCGCCATTGTGGAATTTACCGAAAGTGTCGGCCTACGTGTGCTCCAGCGCGATCGAGAGAACATTGTCCTGCAGTCCGTCTCAACCGGTCAAATCGTCGTCCGTGCCGAAATCAAGGACATCTTCCCTTTCACGTCTGACAGCAAGCGAATGGGCATTGTTGTTTCAATAACCTCGGAAATCCCCGGACTGACCAACACAGGCGAACTCTGGTTCTTCCAGAAGGGCGCGGACACAGTTATGACCTCGATCGTGGCCGCAAATGACTGGCTTGATGAGGAAACCGCAAATATGGCTCGCGAAGGATTGAGGACCCTCGTTGTCGGTAGAAAGCGACTCTCTCGGCAACAATACGCAGACTTTTCTTCCGAGTATACGGACGCATCGCTGGCCCTGCACGACCGCGACACAGGCATGGCATCGGTGGTGAAAACCCATCTCGAACACGACCTTGAACTCCTCGGCGTAACTGGTGTGGAAGATCGCCTTCAAAAAGACGTCAAGCCATCGCTGGAACTGCTTCGCAACGCCGGTGTGAAGATCTGGATGCTCACAGGTGACAAGATCGAAACAGCGCGATGTGTAGCCGTCTCAGCGCGATTGGTCGCTCGAGGCCAAAACATCTATACCATGGCGAAACTCAAAGCCAAACAAGCGGCAAAAGACGCCCTAGACGTCATGCGCAACCAGACGGAATCAGCGCTCCTTATCGACGGCGACTCGCTACAGCTCATGCTCAGCCAATTCCGAACCGAGTTCATCACCATCGCAGTCCAACTCCCCGCCGTGATCGCTTGCCGGTGCTCTCCCACCCAAAAGGCCGACGTCGCGCAACTAATCCGGCAGCATACGAAAAAGCGGGTTTGCTGCATTGGCGACGGCGGCAACGACGTGTCGATGATCCAGGCCGCAGACGTGGGCATCGGGATTGTCGGCAAGGAGGGCCGGCAAGCGTCTCTCGCCGCCGATTTCAGCATCGAGCAGTTCTGTTACCTCACCAAACTTCTCGTCTGGCACGGGCGAAACTCGTACAAACGCAGCGCAAAACTCGCGCAGTTCATCATCCACAGAGGTCTGATCATCAGTGTCTGCCAAACCATGTATAACATCGCCGGGCACTTTGATCCGAAAGGCCTATTCAAGGACTGGCTGATGGTGGGCTACGCGACCGTGTATACCATGCTCCCTGTGTTCAGCCTGGTGTTGGACACGGACGTGGACGAACATGTCGCAAATCTATACCCGGAACTGTACAAGGAGTTGAAATGGGGCAAGAGCCTCAGTTACAAGACGTTCTTCACATGGGTGGGCGTGTCAGTCTACCAGGGCGTCGTCATCCAAGGGCTGTCGCAGTTACTCGTCGGCGAGGTCGACGGCCCGCGCATGCTCTCCGTCAGCTTTACGGTCCTGGTCCTGAATGAGCTGATCATGGTGGCCGTCGCGGTCACGACCTGGCATCCCATTATGATTGTGTGTATTGTGGGCACGGCGTGCATCTATGCCGCCAGCGTGCCGTTTCTGGGCGATTACTTTGATCTGAGTTATGTGGCGAGTTGGAGCTGGGCGTGGCGGGTCGGCGCCGTAGGGAGTATTAGTCTTGTGCCCGTCTGGGGCGGCAAGGTGGCGAGGCGGATGTGGAAGCCCCCTAACTATCGCAAGGTGCAGGGTATATAGATAGGTTCACCTACTAGTACGGAGTATAGAACTGTTCACGGTTGTATGGTCATTGAAATATTCCGGCCGACCGGCCTGCCAGCGGTTTGTCACGGTTCAGAACGATACACGCCCATTTGCCACCGGAATCAATAGATTCTTCGTCACGACCTGGAGACCTGTACGGATTCACTAGGGGGTGTAGGGTTAGAGTTGGACAGTCTCCAGGGTATGCTAACTGAAAGGCAGCAAAAATGGATGGAATACCTGAGGACCCGGTGGGGGGCATCTTGGGCGCTAGAGCGCTTCTAGGCGCGCCCACTAAGTTAGCGTTCTCGGCATACATTCCCCGCGTGATTCTGCGGCAGGCAGGTGATTTCAAGTTGAGGTCAACGTGGACGTTAGGTGACTCTACACTTGATCAAGCGTTGAAATCTGCCACACAGCGGTAGTTACTCGTAGCGGGAGTGGTCTCCTGCGTGCGCGTTTCCGAGGAGACGCACCATCGACGATGGCATCATACCTCTCGTACTTCACCTCCAACTCCTCCAGCCAGCCGTCGTCTCAGAATCCCACCCCCGCCGCGACTTCGACATGGTCGAGCACCTTTTCCTCCCGGATAGCGACCCTGCGGAAGGCGCTTACCAAAGACTCAGAGGAGGATGACCCGGACAATGAAGACTGTTCACATATTTCCAATGTTCTGCGCGCATATTACACGGAGAAAGGGCGTCCATACCCCGAGTGGCTGCCGCCCGACCCCAAGAAGCCAGTCGCGGCACCTCCCCAGCCTCAGGGCTCGTATGGCCAGTATGGAAACCCATTTCCTTCCCAGCTTGGGAACCAGCAAACACATTCAAGAGGCTCTTCTGGGGGTAGGGCGGGGGGCTTATCTGATCTCTGGGACTCTGCTCCCGCACCATCGGCTGCTGCGCCTCAGAGCCTCCGGGCTGCACGGCCTACTCCCAACTCGTTGCGCTCCAATGACTCTGCCAGATCTCATTCAAGTGGAAATGGTGGAACCACGTCCTTTGGCCAACCCATGCCCAGCGCTAGACCCCTTCCCAGCCAAAGAGCCGGAAGCTACCAGACAGCTCCTGCTGCAAATCCTGGAGCTATGGGCTCTCGTGACCGTCTTCGAGCTCGCCTGCAAGGTGGGGGCAGCGGAAGAAGTAGTCCTTCGGCCGGCTTGAATAGTGCTAGTCAGGGGTCATACGGTCCCGGGGTCGGAAATTTGGCTAACCATGCCTCGCGAAGTGGGTCTTCTCAGCCCTACATCTCAGCCTCAGAGCCTTGGTCAACAGGCGGCGATCCATATGCCTATGACTATAGTGGTGGTGGCGGTGGTGGCGGTAGCAGCGGCTCCTCAAATCCGTACGCTCAGCAGGATCATCGCCAACGTCCTGGCGGCCCCAGATGAGGTATCACAGCTCCTCCAGATCCTGCGTCCGGCGTACAGCGCGAAGACCATAGGTCACCAGCATAGCCGTTCGAGAGGGGCTGTTGACCTCGAAAGGACCCGATCGGACCGCCTTGGCGAGCCTCAAATAAAACGTTTCGAGCCTCGCATACCTATTCCAAACCCGCCTGCAAGCGGGTCAGGACAAACCAGCACCCGGGACTTTAGGATGCCGGATGTCTGGCTGGCTCGGATCGAGGAATTGGGATCAACTGCAAGATCTGAAGCTAGATCCTATACCGGGCCGTGCCAGCCTGCAACACCGGCGTTGTCTCTCATTGGCTCGCAGGCGAAGAAATCAACGACGACCTGAGGCCATCGGCAATCTGATCGTTTACTGGGTAAGAGTCGAAACGGGAAATTTCCTCGTGGCTGGTCGTCAGCCTCTTAGCTGTGGACCCCAAAAGGGAAATCTGCTCCACAGACTGTCGGGGCCATATATAGGGCTACTATACAGATTCGGGTAGGACCACAGAAGCATAGGCCAAATGAGGCGACGGACCGCGAGTTTCATACACAGCTCATCATCAGCACCGCCCCAAGTAGAAGAGGCTGAGGTGGGCCTATTCCCGAATAAGGCTAGCCTCGGCATAATCGGCGTGCAGTAATTGAAGCTGGCTCTGACTAAGGCGGGGCAGCGTGTCTCGTGTCCCTCTCAGTCTCACCTCTCTTTCACCTTTCTTTCACTTTCACTTTGCTGCCAATTGACTGGAGCCAAAGGTCCGGCGCGCCAGCCTTGAAGCGTACTCGGACACGCTCACTAGCTACGCTCCCACCATATTCGACAGCCGGCTAGGAGCAGGCTATACCCGCGGGTCGCCCTTGTTGCCCTCGGCCATTCGCTCCGAGTCGTCCATCGCTTGTTGCTCGTCGGCCCCCAATGGCGTCGTATGAATGGAAGGTTACCTTCGTTCGCAGCACCACAAACTACTTCCACCTCGTAGCGCGTCTCCTTCCGCCGTCCCGCGCTTAGTGACGTCCGGACATTCCTCTCCCTTCTGCCACTAGCTGCTGGCTCCAAGCCATCGCAGTCTCCGCGTCCTCACTCACCTTCACCTGCCCTCGCTAGCTTGCTGATCTGGCCCCCGTCATGACCCGTTACGCCATCCCACCTCCTCGCCAATGCCGACCTGGCTCCTTGACCGGCCGGCTTCAGATCGCGGCCCCCCGGCACGTGGTCGTCATACTCAGAACCTCACTAGATGACGCCAAAGGTCTCTCCGCTGAAAGCCTGAGGCTGAGGTACCCGGTGTCAATACCACGCTCATCCCGTTAGACAGACTGGACATGTAGCAACTGATGCTCCGGATGATGACCATTTACCGCGCCTTGGTGTGGCAGCGACGGCAGGCCAACAGCCGCACCAAGTGACCCCATGGTAATCATTCCTGGAGTCGTCCATTTACAGCTCTGTTCGAGCTTGGAGAAGATTACCGGAATTGCTGGTCTATTGCTCGGCACATCACGCCTCTGCAAGAAGTTCATAATACTTCTGCAGGCACGTATGTGTCAGCCCGTCTCTCTGCCTTGGTTTGTTCCGCCCATAGCAATCCCAATGCTACACTGCCCTGCTTCTTTCCACAGTCTCAACTCATCAATCTTGTTGCTGCGATCTTACTAAGTTTGCGTTCCCTTTCACCGGTTGGCGGGTCGTGTCGATCGCCTTGGGTTATATCATCAGCGATTACTCAAGGTCGCCCAAACTCCTCCCTCGGGGTCAGAATATCATTACGGCAGCTTGTTGTCTATGGACGAGTCCTCCGGTCAGGGCTCAGGAGGCAACCGGAGTACAAATACCCCAAGACGACCGCAGCCCGGTCAGCGAGGAGAACCATCGAGTCGTGTCTCCTTGCCATCTCACCCTGCTGGACGCGGTTCTCTGTCTCCATCCCAGCCATCATCGAGCCGGGAAGCAACGACCGATCCTCTCTCGCAGCAAACAATCTCACGAGCAAGTCCATTTCACTCGCCTTCCTGTCCTTCCGAAGACCCCATGTCGCGGTACGCAGGACAAGGGCCGACAACGGTCACGACAACAAGGCCGCAAACGTATCAGCTTGTCTCCCCTGGCACACCGGCTGATCCTCGAACAATGAGCCAAGTTAGTCCAGGCTTTATTTTTGTAATATTTCCTATGTTTGCGCGTCTTCTTGCTTCTCTTTCCTTACTCCCTTCCTTTTGCCCCTATCTCTCTCCTAATTCATTTCCAGTATATCTCTTTGCATATCTGGGTTTCCTTGGCGCACTCAAGACAGTCTCGCATCTGGCCGCTAACGAGGGTGCAGAACAACAAGGACCAACTGATCCAGTCCCTTCGGACTCACCGGGTCAATACCATCACCGAGTTACGCCGGATCGAGAAGATCTTCGCCTATCTGAATTCGGCCGAGGTGACAGAGCCGATGACGACGGCGTGGGCGCATTACGTCAACTCAAACAACCTGCTGAATGAGCTCCGTGGCCTCACCAAGACCTACCCGTTCAGCTCTGAGTGTCTCGACGAAGCCAAAGCTTTGGTGGTGCGCGACCCAAGTAGCACTCGGAGCTGGAACTACTGCTGGCTGGTCCTCGTGAAGATGGAGAAGGAGTAAGCACCGTCCAGTCTAAGACGATTGGTCCCTCCCAGAGAGTCGATCGGACGCTGACCTTGGTGCAGAAATCTCATCGCCAAACACGCGCGCTCTCTTGCTTCCAAGGCTAGCACCTGGGGAGGACGCAGGCCGACGAAGGAGGAGTTCGAACGACTTGTCGCTGCTTGCGTGGCCGAATGGACCCGAGCACTCCGGCAAATGCTCAAACATTGGGACCAGGCCCCAAGTACGACGGGAAATTGAGATGGTGCGGATGGGCCCCCGGCAAGGACCGAGGGGCAAAATCGAGAGTTCCCGGCTCTCGTTCTCGCCACCGGGTCGGCATCTACGCCAAAAGACGCTCATTTTCACTTGGGATGCAGAGTTGACATTGATGGATGGGATCATCTGGATGAGAAGTTCGGCGCCGAGCTGGTGGAGCGGAGACTGGTTCTCAGCTGTTGAACACCACCGACGGGCCGCGCAGGATAGACGGTACCTTTCTGGTGGAGGTGCATGGGCATCGGGTTTTCGCCGTTCTTTTGAATATCCATGCCGGGCGCATGTTCAGTAGAATGGACCAGCGGGCGGAGACCTTTGGGACACGGACGGCGTATCATCATGGGTGCGAGAATGTACAATTCTCTGGATAAGAAATTTTAATGCTACTACGAGTACATCTCGCTGGATCCCCCTGCAGACGTGGACGCGTTGATGTCTGTTTCTATCATTAGGACCACTAGTGTAGTTGTCTAGCTGCGAACGGTTTCAGATTGTAAGGGGACGACATCTGAAGAGATGCTGGGGGCCAGGGAACGGTGCGGCTCCGCGGGCAATGGCATGATCTAGCACAAGCAAGTCAGAGTATGTAACTTGGTCGACCCTCTCACAAATAGAGGGTATACGAAAAGCCGGCTCTGGCGCATTGTCACGGGTGGTCACGACCAGGGAGGACATTGTCGGCTTCCTAATCTGGCATGCAGAAGCACTGCAGGGTGTGACAAATGGTGAGTGGTTGAGGGTGCGAGTATCTGGAGCCTTGGTGCCAAGGGCCCCCACCACCTCGAGCATCTAACGGCTCCTGCAAGCACGGACAAGCGAGGCGACCATCGTCGACAGGTCGACGAGGAGACAGGCGGGTGACATCATGTTCAGCATTCGGGGAGAATATCTGCTGCCTCTTTCGTCCCAGGGTTCGTGTGATTTGTGCCCATGTCGACCGCGAACCATGGGCCACAGCGATAGTCGGAACCCTTCTGCACACATCTGACAAACGCCCTCCGCGCGATACGGGCCTAGCTAGGTCTTCTCCGTCGGAAAAGGCGAGTTTGGACGATCGCGGAGGTTCGACGTGTCATCCTAGGCGATGTGAGAGTAGCACAATCGCGAAATGGGCCACGATGAGGCGAAGACCAGCAACGCCCATCGGGAATTCCTGGTGGCGCTCATGGCCTTACGCGACTGCGACTCCGCGATCAGCGCACAATCAGTTGGACGCTGCATTTGACCAGCCGAGGGCGTCGAGTTACGAACGGCCAACTACATCTACATCAGGATCGACAGTGATCTGTCAGGCTTTGCAGCCCCTCGAATCACGATTGCCGGGCCCATGCATATCTAGGGCCTCCCAGCCCAAAACGCCTCGCTCCGTGCATGTAGCGCTGACGGTACCTGCTTCGAAGGCAATCGTTACAGGCTCCAGGAAAGACCGTAACATGCACCGCTGGTCCCCAAAATCTCACTGCTCGGGACGTTCTTGGATGACGAGAGACGTAGTCAATGGTCTCGCAACAGGGACCACCGACTCCCCCATAGAGGTGACGTACAGAGTAGTCGTCGGGGGATGGTCGTGGGTCCTGCGTCTTCTCGCATCACCTCACCTCACAGCGAGCGATTATATAACCAAATTCTACTGGTCAGGCCCAATCGTTCAGATCGGATCAGGCGTACTCCGTACATGGCAAATCAATCCATAGACACTGGTGCCGAGGACGACGACGATCGGCACAGGCGGAGTCTTCTGTGTCCAGATATTGCTGGCGGACGGATGGTGGAAATTGTGGCAAGATCACAATGCCCAGCATCGGCGCAGGGGAGTCAAAGAGAGACCATGACACGACAGCACAATCTGGCAAAACTAGGTAGACGAGGGGTTGGTTAGAAGTGGCCGCCGCAACGACGCTGAATAATGATATACTTCTTGGGGACAAGGCGCCGGCGGTGATTGGCGGGCGGCATCCCGACCTTTTGCCCGAAACGGCAAGCGCGGCTCCATCGCAGGCGACGCCGCCGCTCACAAGCTTCTCACTTTGTCTTCTCCCGCGCTTCGTTGTCTACCAACAGGACTCGGACATCTACAGCAGGCCATAGTGTTTCGCTCCTCAAGGCGGGACACGTGCCTGTGGGTCAGAAGCCGTGTGCCATTTCCGGACCCCGTGGCACCCATCCCTCCATGACCGCATTCCCAAGACCGACGGCTGCGGTGCCTGAGTCGGTAAATGGTTTCACTTTGCCTGAATCACCAGACGGGAGCAAGTCCCTTGGCGCAGCCGCAGCACAGCCGTCTGAGGCCTCTTTCGGGGCGTCTTCCAGAATGACCAGGATTGTTCGCAGCTTCGGATCGGCATGGGCTGCAGACACGACTGCTGCCATCAGAAAGTCACCCGCCTGTCCCACGAGAGCGGCACAAGGCTGATACCTCGGAGTGGACCACCTCTACACGTGACGGTGAGCCTGACGGGTCGCACCAAGTGCTGTACGCAGACGAGAACGGAGGACCCAGTCCAACCATCCACGCAGTCCCACCGCGAACCACATCCCAATCCCAGCCACAACCCCGGCCGAACCTGCCGCACCTGCCGCATTTTTGGGATGCACAAGGCATAAGTCCTGTTCCAGAAACGACAGATCGACAAAGTCCTTCGGGATCCAGACCCGAATGCGATACGCGCTCATCTCTTTCCGCTCTTGCCCTCATACTCATGCAACTCCATCACCATAGGCACTGACAAGAATGAGCCTGCGTGTTGGGACCTTCCACGGCTTGGTTAAATTAGCTACATCTGCGGCTGTGCGTCCACAGCTCCGTGCTCGAAGCAATCCTTTCGGGGCAATTGCGGCCGACTACCTTACTCGCCCATTCTGACCTTCCTCATTGTCGGTCCAATGCAGTCATCACCATATTAGCAACAGCACCACGATAAGGACATATGCGTCCCATCCGTGGATGTGGGGAGCAAATGTACCCTCGAAGGGTCCCTGTCTCGCCCAGTCGCGTCCAGCCGCGTCCAGCAGGATGAGACTCCACTATGAAGCCCACCGTCCCGGGAATCAGCTATTCCTCCTTCCTGAAGCGATCTGTATCCACTCTGTTGGCCCTGCGGACTACGACAGTCAAAATGTCGAATCAGCTCCCGCTGCACATCATCTCAGCATGGTTATTCGAGCCTGCATGTCTATACTTACCAGAATACGCAACCTGAATCCTTCTTGTTTTGTCCTAAACTGGCTCGCAACCAGTCGTCATCAGGAGATTACGATCGGCGATGGAAGCTGCGATTGAGCCCACGCTCTGCCCGTCACCGCCGAATCTGCACCGAGCAGCCACCTCCACGAGCAGAACAGCGGTCATCTGCATCCCGGACGTTGACAGCGGGGACTTTCCACATGTGGCAGGCCTGATTGAGGACGATCCTGACGAATCCCTCGGCGATTCAGGAGTGTCGACCTCGAACTGGTAGTCCATTCTACCAATACGGACGATACTTAACAACGTCAGCAACAAACTGTCGCTCAGGAGGGAAAAGACGTGGCATGGTCGGGAGCCAGCACCTCAGCCACGGCAAATCTGTTGAGCTTTTCCATGCTTGCATAAAGCTCATGTGCTAATGCAGGCCCACATCCATCGTCGAGCGCTCATTACGCCGGGGCGAATCCGAGGAATTCCCTGCTTACATATGCACAAAAACTTTTCGAGGCACTGCTGACCTAACTGACCCCACTGCTGCCTCAAGATGGTCCGTCGCGAAACGAGACGATCTCTGGCCGGCACATCGTTTCCAAAGTCGTTGGGCTCAATCCGAGGAGTCTCGCCCAGCAGCCTGAGGCTTCGATCCAGTCTTGAGCCACCGCTCAAGCGACCTGTCACAACAATTCCTTCTGCATTGCCGTGTGCCTGCCTGGGGCTTTGCACAGTAAGGTCTCGATGCACCAGGAAGCACATGCGCAAGGACGCGGGCGACAGTTTCACGTTCGGGGATCTGTTTGCGCAGAGGTCCGGCCTGCAGCGAGGAGAAGCCGAGCAAGAGCAAGCCCGAACGCACTGATTCGTTGGCTTCCATCACCACCGGTTTCAGTCTGGACCTCTCGACTGATAGGGCCATATTTCCCGGTATGCGTGAGGAGTGCTGATTGGTGCCCTGCTCAAGCCGGTTGCGATGATGCAGTGCTGGGATCCGTCCATCAGGTCAGAAAAGTTCTCTTTGACCGGACGCCACAAATTCTCACTTCGACTACGGTGCCGCCGCGTTGGAGCCCTGCGTATGGAGAGATTGGCAAGACAGTGCGCCAACCCTGGATGACCCGTCTATCCACATCGAATCAGCACCAATACGCATGCGCCTGACAGAACTCACTAGCTTCCAATGAGTCAACTACTGTGATGCAGGCACATTAGTGTGCACCGCGAATCCCGGCGCCGGTTTAAGCAAGATTTCCGAGATCCTCTTACGAGAATCGTGATCGTCTCGAGTGCGAACATAGCTGTCAATCAGTGGCGCTGGTCCGAACCGACGAGAGGAAACAATAGTCCAACAACGCCTATGTCGCCCGATCGGGTTTGCCATGGAAAGTCGATGAAGACCTGCGACGTCTCTATTCAGCCAGAAGTTCGACCGGGTGGGTTCTTGCTCTTTGTCATCGATACACGCAATCTTCGCAGTGACTGACTTATCAGACCCGCCTTTGCAACTAGACATTCGGTCGAATTAGACGCTGCGTCACGGTGACCTTCCGGCCTGAAACATTACGGCACCAACGCCTGGGCTCGACGACTATCCCACGCTTCTTGAGTCAGCACCGGCCCTTGCCTGGTGGCCTCCGCTCTCTGGCGCCGGTGGGATCTAAATGACAATCTTCATGTCTGCCTGTTCCTCTTCGAAGCGTCCTCGATGGATGCCCCAGGCCTCACCGTGCAGCAATATGGCGGAATTGATCCTGGTATACGGCTAAAAATGTTCGTGGTATAGCGTCGACGGAAATAGGTG